ATGGGCAAAAATTGAGAAATGTCACTTTTTATCACTTTTGATTGCATTTTTCAATCTTTTACCCTTTGAACTTAAATAATTTTAAATACTAATCTGATAGAGAATTTTCTTTTCTTTCATAATCTACATTTTCCGGGCTTCTAGCGCTTTTAGTTTAGAAGATATTCGCATTCAAAAATGGTCGAAAAAAAGTATCAAGCACCCCCCCTTGCCCATTTTTTCTTAGGAGTGAAAATTATTTTCTCTCTGATTTCCGTTTGAACTAGCCTATCTTATAGAGAATTTTCCGTAGGTTAAGACACTGCGATTCGATCCTATTTATCTCTTTTAGTTTACGACTTACTGAAGATGCCCTCGTGGCAAAACAGGTACAACTCCCTCAAAAATTTGTAATCTAAAATCACGTATAATTTTTACAATAAATATATATAATATATTATGTATACACTAAATTAATATAAATTATGTATTGAACATAAAAGTTTTTATGTTATAAACACCGGGTATGTGTTTATTATTTTGTATTTTTGTTTCGTTAATTATCAAAGGCAAACATTTGTGCATCCGACATTTGGGCGTTGCCTGCGCCTCCTTTCTTGCACTTTATTTAATTTTCACTTGCAATTAGACGCCGCGTCGACGGCAAACTTTTCACAAGTCGTCCAACACGCCTGAAAGTTTTCCACTTTTCTCGCCCGGTTCGTCGCGCGCTTTATTTTTATTTGCTTTTATTCTCAAGGCGGCGCGCCGCTAACGAACTGGGCTTTTGTTCGCCTCAAATTTTAATTGCATTCAACGGCCTTTTTCATTAAATCGCCATACAAATATAATAACTACTGCAAGAGGCAGAAAAATGTTAAATTTTATAGAAATCATAAATCATAATTTATTTATTTCAATCATTACACACTAGTTCAATGCCATGAAAGCGTAAAACGTAAAAATTAAATTAAAATTCAACAAAAAGTTGAAATTATGTGTAAATTTGATTTTGATGTACGACTAAAGTTCTATACTTTATAAAGTGTGTGAATGCGAGTGATAAATTGTAAATACACATCAGGGTGTGGTTTACAGCGTGTGTTTGAGTGAGGTAATTTCGTAAGTGGAAGAAACCTTGATAAAACAACTCGTAAACTACCAAAAACTGCTAACATACGAATCCGAATTCGAAGGAAACAAATTCAAGCACGTTTCTTGATTAATTACACATTTAAACATCGAAAAATGTAAAAAAATGTAAAAAAATGTAAAATGAGAAGGTGTTGCAGTTACTAAACACTCTGCAATTAAATTACAGATAATTATCTATTCGTAATTGCAGTGGCAGTGCATTTTGCAGTTGCTTACTTAATGAAATACGAGTAATATTGCATTACTCTTAGTTCTTACAAACCTGATCTGGCAACACAGTCGCATTCATTAGTCCTTTACTTCATTCTTCACTCGTTTATTCATCTTTAATACTTGTACTCGTTAATTATTTTATTAGCATTGAGCATTCTCGTATTGTCTAGTGTTACTAAAGTAAAGTTACAGTAAAGTTTCGTGTTTGTTTCTCGTGGGCCGCGCAAAACTAACAAAAGCAATCACAATTCAATTTGCACTCGAGTTCCATATTCTTTTCAATGTAATTTGATTCACGAGCACAAATTTACAATTGCGACACTGGATTACATCACGAAACAATTTTATCGTTATTCGTTGGTAATTAAAATTAATTTTAAAATAAAATAAAATAATTTTACGCGATTAAAAACCTTCAATATTAATTTTTTAAGTTTTTAAGCAGTAAAATGAAAATTAATTTATAAAGTTACTTTCTATTTGCACGTAGAGCGCAAATGTGGTTTGTTTTCTTACGTCGTGTGATTATCGCCGCGCGTAGATTATCATATTTCATTCAATTACCTTATTACTTTTATTGTAATACTAGGCGCATTTTTTATTTACGTTTCCTTTGGATGCCTGGCGCATAAAAACGGTTTCGTTTGCAATTGAAAGCGTTTTGCATTAAGCAGAAATTTAATATGCATGAGGTAACTATAAAACCATGCAAGAAATTATAAACGATTCAAAACGTTTTACGCGATTATTTGTATTTCATAAAAAAGAAGAAATAGTAATATAAATAGTAATGGAATCGAACTCCATCAAAGTCAAATGTATTTTATTACGTTTCTTCGTTTAAACATGGCGCTGTGGATGAAATAGTGTTGATTGGGTTTTTCAGCTAGATTGCAAATTGCTACAATTTAATGTGATTGTCGATTGCGCCTTTCCGTATTCCGCGCCAGCGTCTGCCGTTCTTATTCGTTGTTTCGCGTTTCACTTAATTTCATTTAATGTCCGCGTTTTATCGCCTTTTGTTCCAACTTGCAAGCGGCCGACACACACCACGCACCAACAACAACCGATTAAACGGTAAATGCTAAACGTTTAGAATAACTTTCTTTGCCATTTCGTTTTATCACTCGTATCGCAATCATTTTTTTATCCGTCGAGAGATAATAAATATTTTATACACAAATAAATGAAGAAAATAGTTAAAAAATTAAATACTCGTAAAGTGTAATGTTCAAAGTTTCGAGTGTTTGTGAAATTTATTGTGGACCTTCATGAATTGATGAATGATTACACAAAGTTTTGTGCTCGAGACTTTTTCTTGGTATTTTCGGCAAGTTTCACAAACTTTTTACATTTCCACGCTGCTTTAATAAAGAAAATTGAGTGCAAACGCCCGGGAAATGAATAGTTTCCAGTCACTTTCAAAAATTAATCTGTTCCAAGGGTACCGTTAAAATTAATCGTAAAAATTCATAACGTGTTTACTTGGTTGCCTATATTTCAAAATTCTAACCTATCAAATTGACTATAAAATATTTTAATATTTTAATGCAAAATCTAAAAATAAATAATCCGTGTAATTATCGACCGGGTAAAGCCTTTCAAATAAATCCAGCATTCACCATACGCATTTAGTGTTCAATTAGTGCAAAATATAAAATATGCATGTTCAATTAGTTATGCGTTTCATTAAATACGCACCGATAAGTCGGTAATGAACTCGACACGTCAACGCACACATTCGCAATCGCAAACCGAACGAATTATAAAACAGCAAATATTTATTATTCAGCAAGTTAACCATGAAATTCCAAAACCTACTATGATGCCTTAAAATTACAACCAGATTGTGCGCTGCGATTAAACTTAATCATTAATATATCTCCAATTTGAAAAAATAATTCAACTTATTTTGTAATCCGGCTCGCAGCGCAAATTAGTAAATTACATTTTTGACATTGTAAAGTCGTGAAACGGATCTAGATCACGCAATCTCATTCATGAGTACGAGTTTCTTGGTATTTCATCGGTATAAACGTATGACTGCGCACAAAAACCGATCACTAATCATCCGCGAGCACAAGAGGCGCGTTATTGTTGCCAGTTTCTTTTGTCTTTCAAGGTCGGATTCCATAAGTGGAGGCGCAATTATGACTTCTAACGAGGTGCCGCACAAAAACGCCGTTTGATTATATCTAAATCAGCTTAATTACGTTTAAATGAAAGCTCCTGGAGCTATTTTTTCATATCTCACGCTATTGTTTAACAAAAATAAATATTAATCAATTTTTTCAATGTTTCAATGCAAAAATTATGATTATAGGTTAGATATCATGTTTTTAGTAATAAAACTCACTCGTAGATGGCGCTACACATCGCTAGTAGCTAAAATACCAGGTTATGTAGTCGTGTAAATGCAAATCGCGTTGAAATCGAATATGTAAATGTTGTAAACATAGTAAACAGTAAACAAAGTATATTATGCCAGCTACCACGTTTCCATCTAGTGAATAGGTAAAGATTTCAATAGGCTCAACGCGTGCGGTTCGTATTCATCGCAAAAGCACGCCGATTAAATCCGTCGTCGCATGAATACAGCGATAGTAAAAGAAACGACTCAAGTTATAAATCAGTAATGCATAATCATTGCGACATCAACATCAACATCGCAATTCTCGCCGTCGTGAATTGATTCTCTTCGCTCTAAGGATACGTCAACATCAACACAACACAAGCCATTACCCATGAACAATAACATCATGAACATGTGTTCAATCAACAATCATGTGTCAAGCCGTGAATATTAACATGTTAAAACCGCAATATTTTAAATAAGTGAAAATTTTTGTTTTTGAATCATCAATCAAATTGATCCATAATATAATGGAAAATGTAGAGATATTAATTAAGCAACTTTTCATCAGTCAGTGATTGCAAACCGCGCGGATTAATAATTAATCACGATGTGGATTTGCAAGCGCAGCGCGGATTTGAAATTCGATAATGCGTGATAAACCAAGACGACTTCATCACAGCTTAGCTCACAGTGGGCTTAATCCTAGATTCAGCACTCAAGTTTGCATTTCAGGAGTTTGATGGTTTACCAATACCCAGCCCTGTTTCCTTATCGACAGCCTCATCAATGCAACAACAAACATGGGATTAGAGGTGCATGCGGCACGTAGGATGCGAGCCAGACTTCGATTAATATTCCGGACACTCTCCGGGTATATCACAGCGATTGGACGGATCCTAATGGTCCTCTAATTAATGTTGACACTCTGAACTAATCACTAATCAATCAAAACAAACCGAATCGAAGCAGACTAAGAAATAGTTCGAATCTAAACATTCTAACATTCTAAAATCACGATTCGTTGAGTGTATTAATTAAATAATTAACTAATACAATGAGAAACACGTTTTTCTCACGCAGAGTCAAAATGAAGCGAAAGTCTAATATTTAAGCATTTTGTACGTTTGATTTGTACTTGAGTGCACGGCAAAAATGTTGTGTTTTGTGTAATGTTACAATTTCCCACTTAGAGAGAAGGACGTGAGCGGCGTTGTGCTGGCGTGACGATGAGAGGAAGCTAAAGGCTTTAGTACAGCCGAAGAAGTAGAAAAAAGGAAGGTGGGCGCCTTCACCACCAGCTGGAAGTAATAACGTGCGGACGGCGAGCTCAAGCCGGTTAGTTCTTCGACGGCACCGGTGAGTGTTGGTTGGAAGTGACTGATTACGCTTTTGGATACTTTGTTCGTGTGTGAGTACATTACATATTTTTTTATCAACTTAAAATCACTCACCAAACGTAGAATCATCAAAAATAGGAAAAATTCGAAAAAACTCACCTGAAACAAAAAGAAAATAATTTTTAATTATAAAATATTAAAATAAATAAATACATAATTTATTTATTAGATTTTTTCTCTGATTTAATAAAAAAACGCGAGTTTATTTAATTATGCGTAACAGCGTTCCGATTGCGTGCGTTATATAATTCTGAATCGAGAAGGCAACAACTGCTTCAACTCCACAACTCGTTACAAGTGCAACACGGTGTACAACTTTTTATTCGTTTTATTCATGCGATCGCGTTACGAACGTCTAGATAGAAATATATTGAACGTTATATAATTCTGAATCGAGAGGCAACAACTGCTTCAACTCCACAACTCGTTACAAGTGCAACACGGTGTACAACTTTTTATTCGTTTTATTCATGCGATCGCGTTACGAACGTCTAGATAGAAATATTGAACTCTTGCAGAAATTCAATTGAATTCAATAAATATATTTCACGCTTATGAAATAATTAATAAATCAAACCGCAACGGCAGAAATTTATATTAATAAATAATTATTAATTCCAGAGTGAAACTTAATGAATGTTTATGACTTTTGATGATTAAATTCAATTAAATTATATATTCAATAATAGTCAAAATACGAGAGTTGCATGTATTTTGTGTGTGCGTTAGTCTGTCAAAATAGGTTTTTCCGTGTTTGATTGGCGAATGAGTGCGGAAATCAAAGCGGCGATGATTACAAAAGCCGTTCGGAAACGCGGGTCGCGAATAGTGCTCGCGACGGATTCGAAATCAGTCGAAAACGAAATTTGATATCCCTCGTTAGCGTGCGCGTAAATATTTGCGAACAAACTGGAACCAAACGCAACAAAAAAAAACGAAAAAAAATTGAAAAGTGATTTTAGTTAGTTAGTTTCTATCCGCTGTGAGCGAAATCCGATCGTTAATATTATTAATTAAATAATACAAGTGTGACTGCCAAATAACCAAAGCAAATATTAAATTAAGTGAACGTGAAGTTTAAACGAATAGAAAGTGTTTCGTGTGTGTTTGAGTGCTGAATCAAATAAAAATTCAATTTTTTGTTGTTTTGCTCACATAACAATCGCATAATAACGTGATCTATTTCACTAGTTTATTGTTTATGATTGGTATTAAATTTTGTGCAGCGTATATGAATAAATCGTAAAACAAAATCATCAATAAAGCAAATATTTCGTGAAATTCGATTGAATTTGTGTTCCAAACACAAATAAAACAAGTTAACAACTTCAATTGATTGTTATTTTGTGTGCAACATAACTTTTAACATCAAAAATTATTTCTCCACAACAAAAAACTATTAAAAAATAAAAATTGGTAAAAAAAAGTTAAAAACCAAACAAATTATTTTAATGATTTACGATTTATCTGATTTTGTGCATTACGTAATAAACTTTTGAAGATCACCTGTCAGATATGCAACACACACTGAAAAACAAATTGATTTCAAAGCCTTGCGCAAAACGTTCGCGTTGCATGTCAAAATTGCAGCACAAATAACTATCTATTATCTACAACCGAGCAAATCAGTTAAAATAATTATTTCTGCTCGTAAAATTAGCTGATTTAGACGAACGCGTAAATTACCCCGAGCGAAATATTATTTAATAATCGTAAACAGTAAAGTTAATCACTTCTTTCATCTCGCAGCCGGCGTAACCAGTGATTTGCAACCTCGGAAAGAAAGTATATTGATAATATTCCTATTTTGAATTTACTAAATCCGCAAACATTTCCGAGTGGCCGGTTCGCGCGTAAAATGATCGACAATTTCATACAATTTACTTGCTAATCATCGTCGGTAATATTTTTCGTGTGAAACCTTATCTGGTGTTTACATCAACACACGTAAGGCTATATTTAACGCTGTTGTGCATAACTTCCGTTATGGACAGCGAGTGTGAATGTGTTCACGCTTGTAATCATGGAAAATAATTTTCCTTTCATTATTCACCGATTTTTACCGATTTTACCAACGATTAATCATGGAAAACATTGTGAAAGTTGATTTTTCTGCTTACAGAATGTCATATTGAAAGTGGACACTAACCAACCGAGCAAAATCGAGGAACTACTACACTTGGAGAATCAAAAACAAAAAGACTCAAAATGTTGAGCGCAGTGTTAGCCATAGTATTGCCATGCATTGCAGTCGCGCAGGATGTGAACAACTGGCATCCATTATTAGGACCACACGGAGGCAGTCAGGATGATTCGTTATCATCATCTTATCAACATTATCAACCAGCGGCGCCATCACACACCTTCTCTAGTCTTGTCGCCCAGCAATATCAGCCGCCAGCTCCGCATACCCTGGCGGTCAGTGTGATTTATACAAAGTTGGATTCAATCAGGATTTGTATTTTCAATACGTCCAGTATAAAACCGACGTGCCTGATTTGAAAGAGTTCACGTTGTGCTTCTGGAATAAATTCCTCAATCACAGCAATGATCATCCACTGTTTTCTTATGCTGGTGAGTAATAAATTTAAAAATAGTAAAAATATTAAGTAACAAATGGCTAAACTGGAGTTTTAGTCACGAGTGTTTAATCAATCGAGTGTTTAATAATGTTTAGTCACGTGATGCTTATGATTTTCCACATGACGGTTTTTTATTAGAACTTTTCCATTTTAAATCTTCAAAATTCGAAAAACCCGTGACTAAAGTATTTTAGTCACGACCTTAGTCGTCCGTGTTTAAAGTACAACTTTCTGCGTCTCAAAACCTTGAAAAACTAGCTTTTAAAGATGGAAGTTGATAAATAAAATTTCGAGGACGTTTTTGGTTGTGTCAATGGTTATTAATTGCTCACGATATGAAATTTTAGTATTACGTAAGAATTTTGAAATCCTATGTCGTTTTAACGAATTCTGGCGTAATAATTACGCACGGCAATTAAGGTTGAGACGGTTGTGATTTCGAATAGGAGCAAAAAGCGCGCGATCAACGCTAGGATAAGGAAAGTGTTTGTTACACACGCACGCGGTATCGCACGGTTATATCTTCGTTAGCGTGCAGCCGCAGCCGCAGCCACAGTCGAGACCCAGAGATTAATTAGAAATGACAATTTTGAAAGTTTCGTAGGTGCTAAACACAAGTCAAGACCCGAAACTTTTGCTTTCATCTAGATTCTAGATCAAACGTGACTCGATTTTTTCCTACACATTAAATTTTTATATATATATATAAATATACAGAGTGTTTATAAAATATTAAAAGATTAATCTGATAAATTTTCAAACACTTGTATTATTTAATATTTACACGTGAACTGGTTTTACTTTCATTACACCGGATAGTAATCAAATTTGAGTTTAAAGCGGCTGCATTCTGATGCGATATTTTCTAACCGGCTTGGCTGCGCAGCATATGACGAAACGCTCATCGAATTAAGCTTTGTCTGCGCGCACGGCGGATTTTATATCACATCAAGTGGAAACTATTTCGAGAAGAATTTCACCGCGCCTGATATGGGCGAAATTGTTGAAATTTATCGTCGTCTAATTGTGTGTGGGTCGCTCGAGCATGAACGCACGCGGAATACCAGCGGTAGAAATCTATTTAGGCCACATGTTAGACATTATCTGCGTTTAATGGAATTGCGGAACAAATTGATGTGTCAAAAAAAGCTGATGATCGATTTTCGCTTGCAGTCGACGGACAACCGAAGGCGATCGTCTCCTGGGTCTCCAACTCGATGCGCTCCAGCTATTACAGTATGTCCGTCAATGGCCACACGCTCTATCGCCTCAACTACCCGCTGCGATTGAATAAATGGTATCACACGTGTCAAAGCTGGAACGGCAAGACTGGTGAATGGCAGATCTGGGTGAACGCTGAACGTGTCGGACGTGGCTTCCACAACAGAGTAATCAATTCATTTTTTCAAAAAAAAATTTTACTAAAAATAAATTAATTTCCAGTTGGTTGGTCATACCATCAAAGGAGGAGGTATTGCAATCACCGGGCAAGAACAAAGTCAACTCGGCGGAGGATTCCAAGAAGGTTACGAAGCGCCCAAGGGCGCCGGAGGCATGTTGGGTGAATTCACCATGTTGCAATTGTACAAAGTTGCGCTCACCGCCGGCAAAGCACACAAGGACCACAAGCATCACCACGCGCATCACTACGATCACAATGGCGCCGAAATTACAACCACCGCAGCCCCGGTCACCACCGCTCGCCCAACACAACCCTCTCATCCTTTGATCACCGGAGGACAACTTGACCCCGGCGCGGCGTTGAACATTGCTGCACAACAACAACCGCAACTCATCCAAGGTCAGCAATTCCAATCGCAGTATTTAAATGGACAATTTGCGCCATCGTTCGTCACGCAGCAATTGACCCAATCAGCTCAACCTGACCAAAGGCCACAAACCTTTGGTGTTGGTCAACCAGCTCCACAAAATGCCTTCGGGATCCAACCTCAGCCATCTTATAGTATTTCATCTCAAACTGCTCCTCAACCACCAGCACCCCAACCTATTCCACAGGATTACAATACACAATCACAATCTTTGTTCCTGCCTACCTCCCAGAACCAAAATGACTTATCCTCTTACTCCCAGCAAACATTCACGTTTGGGGACGTCCCCTTTTGAATAGTGGTCTCATCAACCATGCGGAAGCAAGCGCACCTGCCTCTGATGACAATCATAATCTTTTCAAGCGTCAGAACAAACGCAACAGACGCCAAACAGATAAAACAAAACGTGAATTGGTCCTGGCCAATGGTCAACTGATCGATGACAGTGTCCTAGCAGGTTTAGACCAGAGTCTACTCGATGGTCTTGCTGGCATCAGCGATAACGAACCCGTGCTGCAGCAGCAAATGAAAATGGAAGAGCGTGAACCAGCGGAGGCGGAGGTCAAGGCCGTGATGAGCGTTTGCTCTGGCTGCGACCCGGAACCCTTCTCAAAGGCGCTAGTCATCAGCTGGAGGAGCGTTGCCAAGAAGCTCTACTCAGGCGCACTCTACACACCCGCCAACACGGAATGCCGAGTGTTTTAGGTAATTCACAAAGAACAATACACCAGGAAACTTCTACTTCTATCAAAGTAGAGTATGTTACCGGTTTGAATTGTTACCAATTGTTACCAGTCAATCACGAGAACACAAAAATCATTCTAGTTTCATTCAGCGTAAACGTATGACGAACAAACAAAAATTATTGTTTCGGTTGTTAACTCATTTTACTTTTACGTGTACGTGCTTCTTTTTAGATTGTAAGCAGAGATAGTATTTATATATGATATTTTTATAGTTGTGACGAAAAGATAACTAATATATTTTCGAAAAATATTGATTTTTCAAATTGCTTACCTTGCTCTTGTGGATGTGCTGATGTTGATACTCGGAGTCAAATTCCGGTTCGGAGAAGTAGCTGGGATCTTCAAAATGCGGGACGCCAGCACCTCCGGCAATCCCGATTCCGGCCATTGGAAGTCCTCCTGTCACATCCGCAGACTCAAATAGTCTCAGTACAGACCGATCACGGATTTCTCTCAGATGTGATCTGAAATATTCGTTACAATATGGCGCATACAGATGAACATGAAGACCAATACGATGAGGGGATGCAAGATTTGTACGAGTATATACATGAAGATGTAGTGGTAAAAATTCAAGAATAAAAACATGTTGCATGGTCTGTTGGTGGTTTTACCTTGCGAAGTCTCGACGAGCTCATGTGCTGATTATCGCGAGCAGCGTGCAACATAATCCTAACATTAAGAGGACGATCGGTGCTGATACGCATCGGAGCATTATTTCGCACCTTTGTTGCATCTTTCGATAATTCACACACTTTGGTATCATTTGTGTTAGTTTTATTGTGTTTAACAGGAATTAAAATCGGGATGGTTTCAGGTTGAACATTCGGAAGAAGTTTAACTTGCACGACTTGTACTTTTTCACTCTGAATTTCTTCGTTTGTACATTTAGGAGCACTAATTGCCGGATTCTCAAGCGGAATAGTTTCAAAGCTTTTCTTAGGCTCGTCGCACTCGAAGCGCACCTTTTTCCGCAGCCGCGTGCCGGTGGCTGTTTTCGTGAACGAACTCTCCGGGAAAATCTTCAGCTGCAAATTGCCCGGCAGCGAGATTAAACTTTGCACCGACATTTTAACTCTACTCTTAGCACAACATTACAATATTCATTTCCCAGATATTTTGAGGAATTTAAAGCGCGAATTAAACGCTTATACAGGAATTTAATAAAAGTGCCACATAATTTTATTTTCGGTGTTTTGTTTGTTGCATTGGCGTTTCGCGACTGAATGCACGAAACAAACGCAACGGAGAATGAGCGCGTGAAATGTGCGCTAATTAATGTCCGCGCCTCCTCGTTCGGCAGACGAAACCGAGCCGATGTCGCATGATGTCATCGCATTCGCCAGTTTATCTTAATAACGCACCGACACGCGAACGCCGCTCAAGCGGTGCGGACACACATTCAGCCGCTGGGAATTGTAAACTGTTTAATGCATCTATTTTGTTCGGAACCACCCACATTTTCAGAATATTCGAATCGGCGCATCTACAGGCACCATCGAAACATCAAAACATCAAGTGGTATCAAATTCTCCTAATATTATCAACTATACACTTAGTTGAACATAAAAAACACGTGAAAAATACTTTTTAATTATAAAAAGTAAAAATGTAGCATAACACCCTGTATAAAATTTTGTACGGTCATTTATGTGTAATGTGAGTGAAACATTCATCAATGAATGAGTCTACTGTCCACCAAAAAGGAAACACTAACACGATAAATTCCTAACCTAATTATTTTCATTTCAACAGGAAGAAAATGGCGAGGAAATCGAATTACTGACTTTTTCCTTTCTCTATTATCACCTTTTAGTGTAACTACTATCTGTTATACTTAGGTGACAATTATTACACTGACCATCTGCTCCCCAGAAATATTTTTGTATTTTTCTGTATTTTAAACTCTGTCCGAACCCAAACCAGCAGTGCGTGTCAAAACACGTTACATTCGACAGTCCCTAATTGGAGAATTATACATTGTCCTCCCCCTGGGCATGCACTGACGTTTTATTACTCTATTTTGACCAAAATGATAACGCAAGCAAAAATCATTGATATCTCTAAAGAATAAACACCCTGTATGTCCAAGTCGTGCAAGCAATCATAGAGTGTAGATTCAAACCCGCTGGGAGAAGGTAGAAGGGTGAAGGGATCGTCCGAAACCTGACCAATCGATAATTGTAATTATTTTGCCGGGCAAGGTATCCAAGCGTATCAGATCGGTTTAATTAGATTGCATCAAAACGCGATGGTTTGCATTTAAAACACCCTCCCCGCAATAGTAGATTAAACTCACGTTTGCGTACACATTGTGAGTGATTATAGAAAGGGTTAACTGGACATTACCTCCAAATCCATGGTGCGTGAAAGAGGTCCTCCCTGGCCGGACATGGTGCCGTACTGCTCGCCGGCGAGCGTGTGACGGCGTGGATCGTCTCGGCGATTGTTGCGGCTTCGCGATCTCAAGTCGCCATCGGTGTCGCTTCTTCCACCTGAAATTCAAAAATACACAAATGTTGAAAACTGTGCATATCCCTACTAATATTATAAATGCGAAAGTCTTGATGTTTGTTACACTTTCACGCAAAAACTACTTAACCGATCATCATGAAAATTTGTACACATATTCTTAGTGGTCCCCGAATGGTTATAGGCTACTTTTTATTTAATAAAAAAATTATTTTTTAAATAAAATAAAGAAATTGTTTAGCCAATAATACCTCTGCATCTGGCTATTTGACTACTTTAACGCCATCTAGCATTCCAGCAATGAAGCTCAAACCTAAGTACTATAGTACCATCACACTGTATCACACTGTATTACCGACAGCTACGTCAACATCAAATCCAATTGACTACACTATGGAGACTGTTCACTATACTTCCATAGACTATACTTTCAGCCATTTTAAACTTCCCGCCATTCTACTTCATTGTTATTTCTTCTGTGACTACAGACTTCATTATTTTAGATATTCGCGAGCGAAGCCGCGGGTTAAAGCTAGTTTTACATAAATGAAACAAAAGGTTGATGTAATGTAAAACTAGTTGTTGTGCTCATGTCACATAAATATTTGCACAGAGGCAAGTACGATTTCCTGCTCGACTTGCACCACAACCTCTATTAATAGCCATGATGCGACTATTTTGGTTCAGCGATGTGTAAAACGCACACACCAAGCGGGTTTACTTCGCGCGTTCCTCATTTTCATTACATGATTTCGGTAGTTACTCGCTTTCAGCCAGAAATAAATAAAAACTAGGACAGTTGAGCCGAGTAATATAGTATGTTGTAAAATAATAGTCATTGTATGTAAGCAATTACTATTTATTTCAACATACAAATATGCTCATTTAAATGTTTAAAGCCTAAAAATCATGTTTTTAAAATTGCGTTTCAAATTTCGTTCCAAAACGCCAATACCTTGTCACGTGATCGCTGTGACGCCACATGTTACAATTCATTTAAAAACTAAAATATTTTTTAAAAAGAAAAGAAAAAATGAAAAATAGGTAAAAGTTTATTTTGTAAAACTGTAGCTGTTAATTTAAACCGATCCGAGCAAATTTGCTTAAATGAAATTGATGTTAATTAAGATATTTCCACTGTTCGGAAATACCGAAATACTCGGACCGGGCGCGGTTGAATTCGAGCCGGCCGTTTCGGCACGAGCTCCCTAATTGCCGAGATATTTATGTCTCGAGTGGAAAGTCAAGTGCTTGACATCAACCTTTTATTTTACATTTACATTTCGCATTCCATTCCATTTCGTTTCTTTTCTTTTTGCTTTGTTCGCGTGTTACTACCGACGATTTTTATTTTAAGTTCAATGCAATTTAGTTAGCAGGTTAACATTTGCTTCTGTGATATTTACGAGAAACAAAAATAAACCAAACTAATTATAGCCGTTCTCGTAGTTCTTAGAACTGGAAAACGAATCAAGTGTAAGAAAGAAATCTTTCAATACTCAATACAAACATCGAAATTTACAGTGTGAAATTTCTTTTTTTTTTTTTTCTGTGGAGTTATACGGGTTTTAATTAATGTGTGAGATGAAAAAAACGCGTTTTTATGTAGAAGTTTATGATGGATGCACGTTGCGCCTCCGACGAAGACGTTTAATCGCCAACGCATGCGGCTGCAATTTGCTGCCGTCGCTAAATATACAAATCGTGGAAATCGATTTCTCAATTTCCTCGATTCGGCTGGCGGCGCAATATTGCGCGCGAGTGAATCATTGAACGATGAATGCTATTCCGCCCTGCTTGATATAATTAAGGATGGGGGCGACAAGCGGCGAGATGCGAAATTTTACTGGTGGAAGTTAAAGAATGTTTATCATTATACAGTATGCACACAAAAATTAAATTCATTTCTAATCAAAATAAATTTAAATACTTGTAAATATTTATGTTTTCAATGAAATATAATTTAATATATTTTTAATTTTAATAAATGTTTTTGTGTAAACACCCTGTATAAAGATTTAAATTGATTTTCTATGAGAGCGTCGTATACGCGTATGCCAAGAGGCGTTTTGGGTGAATGTGGACGAGTTTTGAAGTGGCGAGACGCCGCCCTCAGTCAGAGATTGCAAAGAAGGACGAAACGAAACGACGGAACCTCAAGGAAAAGCTTTCATACCTCAAACGCCTGCCAACCATCCACTTGTCAACAGAAAAAGGGAGATAACTTGCGTGCAATCAAATGCAATGGAAATTCAACGTTAAAAACGCAAGTTGAAAATAAAATAAAATAAAATTCAACCAAATAAAATAAAATTTCAAAACAAAACATGTAAATATTCTAGAATGTATACCAATAGTGTTTTGTATCGAAATAAATCTTAAAAACAAGTTTTGTTTAGAGATAAGAATGCCTGCCTGCGATAAGACTGGAATACGCGTAGTCTCACCGATGAAATGCATGTTAAAATATACATGAAACCGATTTTTATGTGCAAATATTAAAATATTCAATTAATACGAAAAATAAAACACTTACATGATTACAAAAACACTACACATACTAATTAACATTAAATATCTTCAATTTTAATGAAATTCAACGCAAAAATCGAAAATTAAAAATTAAAGAAACGCACGACGCGCACACGAATCAATCACGGATCACACTGAGGTGCAGCGTGAGTGACGCGCGCTAACACCGATAACAAATACCAGTCTTGCGCAGATAACACTTCTCCTCCACTGACAGGCACTGCCCCAACAAACCAACGAATATGTTTACATAAAAACGTGTTTTATTTTGTGTCCACTCCATAACACACAAATTCAAACCACTATAGTTCGTAATTTCTTTATTTGCAGCATCATTAATTGCTCCCAGGACCATACTGAAAGATAACAATGTTTGCACGCTTGGAAAACGCCCGCACCGGATCGGAACGAGCGTTTAAAAGAAACGAGTATAATCTAAACATCGATGCCATTAGCCTCGGTCCCAGGCCGTGTAATCGCACCCGACGCAAGTTTACAAACCGTTGAGTTCAAGCATTAGGACGCTTCCCACATTTATCCAAGAATAAATAAAAAAAAAGTAAAAATGCATTTTTTTTATTTGGAGGAGTTTTAAAACAATAAAAAGGACTTTGATGGATGTGGCTAAAAAATATTGAAAAAATTTGAAAGTGTTTCGCGGTTGTATTGAAACTGTTGTGAATTGTAATCAAGCTTTGGCTGTGAATACGTATATCTGTAGAAAAAGCCTATGCCTACTACAGTTGGATGAAAAAAGTTGAGAAAACAAAAGGCGCAGGAAAGTTTAATTAAATTCGTCGTTACCAGAGTGATGCATTCCAATTAAAAGCAGTAAAACGAACTTAAATCAATTAACCCGCACTCAGCGACCACCGCCGATTAGAACAAAGACAATTCACGCTTTTAATTGATTTTCTTTCATTTTTTTCTTCAACTTACAAAAAACTAAATTTAAATTTAAATTTAAATCCAATCCATTAAATAAATAAATAACTCGATTTGTTTGTTGGAGTCAGTAAGTTGTTGCAAATTTAATTGGTTTAGTTGAAATTTAGTTGGTTCGGCGCGCAAAGTCGTTAATGCATCAATCGCAATAAACCGATGCAAATGCGCGCCGAGTGCCCATCAGGTCGTAAAATCGCCCGCGCCATTATTACCAATATAATCCGGCAGCTTTCGCTGCGAGAAGAGCAATATCCAAACGCCGCGCGCAAATCGTTCACTGCGCTCACGCAGCCGGCGAAAATCCGACCCGATGGTCATGATTCACTCATTCACTCACTTCCACCGAGTCGATCCAATTGCGAATCAAAGACTCAATCAACAACTATAACTACCGCGACAGCGAAAATGATTATAACTTCGGGACGCAATATCGAACCACAAACAGCCGCGCTCGCAATCGAACTAATCCCGAAGTGTAAAAGGAAAGATTTCATGAGTTGTATCGAGATGGAATTCCTTCAGTTTCGGCTTCTGAGTGGAGGATTCAAGATTGAAAACAGAATCGTTAAGAGTTTGATGTAAACGTAAACGTAAAAGTGTAAACAGTGAATCATCAAGAATAGAAGCTACAAGGAAGTACTCTTCTTCAGAAATATAAAATAGTGTAGTAAATGTTTATCAGTAATTTACTTTTTCTATTTCACACTTTTAAAGCGCACACTTTTATACACGGACAGCCAAAGACGTGACTAAAGTACTTTAGTCACGGGTTTTAGTCACGGGGTGGAGCTTGCGCATGCGCAGTTGCCTACGGTGTAGCACAAGGAGAAATATCGTAAGCATCATATGGCTAAACGTTATTAAACACTCGATTGATTAAACACTCGTGACTAAAACTCCAGTTTAGCCACTTGATACTAAATATACAATTATTTACACTATCAAAGTTTGTAATAATAAACAAACTTAATTTTACTAAAAATCCTCTTGATGTGGTTTCCTCTCCACGTCCCAAAACACAATGTACATTATCACACTAAGTATATCATGATTTATACGAGTACTCTGCTAAAGTTTGGCCTGTGATGGCAACAAGTTTGCAGTTTGCTACACATTGAAATTCACACAAGTCTCCTACGAGTACATTCCACATAATTTCCGAATTTTGACTTTCACGGCTTTCTGCACTTCCCCAAGTGGCTAAAGTTATAATCAAGTTGCTGATTCTCCCCAGAAACAATCAATTTGTTTGTCAACGCTTACGATTATGAATATCATCGTTATTATCATTAGGGAAAGCGCTATAATTTCGTTTTTTTTATGGATAAATAAAAGCCAACGTACGAATAATCACCGATGGTGTCGATAAGTGAATTAATAATTCAATTGGCCCGACTGCCAACCGAGAAGCAATCAACCACCAGTTGAAAGTTTCATTGTCTGATTGTTAAGCTTGCAGTGGTTCGTTAATAATTGAGCAGCAAGTGCAAGTTGTGCGGTAAACCGCATTGCATGATTGCGGGTACTTAAGGAACCAATTTTCATCTTCATTAAAATTAGATGTTAATGGACTTTTTGGTTTATCTATTGGAAAACATCATGAAAGGTTCAAGTTTAATGTTTGTAGTAAATATTTATATTTCCACCTTTAAAGCGCCACTTTTTTTCACGGTTTTAAGACACAAAAAGGGGAACTTTAATAACGGATGGCTAAAACTGTGACTAAAGTACTTTATCACGTCGCTAAACGTTGTTAAAGTGCAGTTTAGCACACAGATACTTAAAATTAAATATATTCTACTAATATTCAAAAATTTAGTACAAAAAACAAAAATTTCCAAGGCAACGATGATAGATTCCTATTTTTTGACAATTTCAAATATTCAACAAATTAATTTAGTATAGATACCTCTCGACTCGAGCACATTTAAAATTCTACGTATAATAACCAACAATAAAATCAGGCAATGTATTAGTGGGAAAAACTCAATTCTTATGTTGACCCGAAAAGAAAATGCAATCAAAATTTGCGCCCTCCGAGAGGCCGGGTCAACAATCGCGGTATTCCATCATAACAGAAAGTTACACACGGCCCCAGCGTGGAGTGTTCCGCCAACCACGTCAACAGTACGAAGTGTACCACAAAGCAGCAAATTCCCTCTGTAAAGTTAGTGATTTTGACTCTCCGATAAACCCACTGACGGATGCAGTAGCTGCTCGAAAAAATGCCAAACTCTACAGCCCCAATAACATGTATGATCGGAAACCACCCGTCACCAAAATGATCCAACGTATGCTCTTAATACATGATACTCTTCGCAGCAACCAGATTCAACAGGCGAGACAACGCAAGTTGAGACATCGAAGAGTAAGAGACTACATCAATCTATCAGATATCACCATTGATGGTGAAATACCTTCCGATGGTATCCTGGTAGAGAAAATAATGAATTCAGGGCTTGTTAATGAGAAACCCTCGAAAGCAAATCAAAAGAAACATAAAGACTGCCCAGATGGTAAAAAACGTGTGAAAAGAGTAACCAGGGGAATACAATGTAATGGAATAAGGACCATTGAGGCTGAAGTCCAACATGACATTATTATGGCAGACTCCCAGGCACAGTATGATCAAACAATTGCATCCATGTCGCAGAGACATCTCGGAACGCAAACAATTCGCCAACCGGATATTAAAAAACTTACAAAAGAAGAAATCCTGGATCTTTTAAGAGCAACCTACACAACTGTTGATGTAGGTATCGGAGTCAACTATAAATCACACCATGTGTCCCATGCAAAGGTACCTCCTGCTCGATCAGCGGTAAAACAATCATCACATCTACCCCCACCACCACCAGCTCAGAAGGAGTCATCACGCTTCAAACTCAGTAAGAGCAAACAACCTTCTCTGAAAACCACCTCAGTCCGCGACATGTACAACAAGAAATTGATGAAGCTGCGTTTGTGTGGCAGCAAAATTCCCACTAAAGACATATTCCAGGACGCTATCGACCACAGCGACCCACGATCTGACAGTGCGGCATCGTTAACGCCTAGCTCAGACCCGCAGGACGATGATCCGTGCGTATTCAATTTCAAATTTTGTTGCCATACAAATGTTGCGCTAGAGAATCATCAACAGTGATTACAATGAATAAAATAAAATATGATGATGAAATTTGTCCACTTTGCAGGTATACCATGGACAAGCATGAAGTGCATTCGTCTGAAGTCCTTTTGAAGCAGCACGCCAAGAGCACGCCGCATATCTCGCGGATACCGAGGATCATCATCAGTAAACTGCTGAGCAATAATGGTTCCAATTCAAGAGACATACAAGCGAAATAAATAAAGAAGAGAAGAATGTTGGAACAAAGGAGAAAATGGCGGATATATTGGTAGGAACTCGGCATTTTGTAGAAAATGCGATGGCGGTGCTCTTGGTGCAGCCATGTGCTGCGGTATCATCGAGATTGGCGCAGTTGACGCATTTGAATTTCAATCGAGCACGCAGGGAGCGATGGCTCGTGCGGTTGAATACATTTCGGCCACTTTAGCACCTGATCCATTATGCTACCTACCACTCGAGCGGAGAAGAGTGCACATGGCTGTGCGCATGAATCGTTTCCCAAAATAATGTCGATATTTCCAAATGATCATCTTATTTAAAACGAATGTGCTGTCAGATCAATAAAAATATGATAACTTAAAACAAAATTTTTATTTTTTCAAATTTAACATGAAAAAGGTTTCCTTCGAACCGGATTTGAACCAGTGACCTATGGATGTCTACGATTTTTATAATTCTACAGTCCACCGCTCTACCAACTGAGCTATCGAAGGTTGTTACAAATATCGAGTAGAAAATAAAACGATGCAATTCTTTTATGAACAGTTGATCTTTACCTGCGCTAGCCTTCAACTAGAGATTACGCGTTGAGGCAGCAAAGGCCCAGGTGTCACCTTCCGCGAATTTAATGCAAATAAGTGAATATTATCGCCATCTTACGATAAAATATATAACTATATGACTATGATTGATTTCACGTACAAACTTAGCTCCACTATGTCACTCTTTAACATTTTTTAAACTTGTACGATAATATTTAAGAATAAAACCGCAATGAAAAGCAATCCAAGATAATAGAGCGAGAGCCAGTGACGGCCAGACTTTCGTCATTTTAGGAAAGATGAAATTTTGTCCATGTGTTTCTCCAACACAGGTAAGAACGATCCCCAATTATGAAACCTGGATCGTGGTTCCTTTGGCAGTTAACAGCTAACAAAGATGTACACTTGATGACCTATGTTTCGTTATTGTAGCAAACTCCATTTTTGCATATTTTGTTCGTAACATTTCATTGTTCTCTGCATAATGTGTATCAAATTCAGCTTTCCTAATATAACGAAAGTAAAAAAGTTAAAAAATATTATACTTTAGGGGTGTCTGGCTAGGGTTGGAACCATACCAGGTATCTGGCAATGAGCAGCGCATGTTATAATAATGTTACGAACAAAATATGCAAAAATGGAGTTTGTTAAAATAACGAAACATAGGTCATCAAGTGTACATCTTTGTTAGCTGTTAACTGCCAAAGGAACCACGATCCAGGTTTCATAATTGGGGATCGTTCTTACCTGTGTTGGAGAAACACATGGACAAAATTTCAGCTTTCCTAAAATGACGAAAGTCAGGCCGTCACGGGCTCTTAGTCTATAATTACAAGCAAAAAATACAATTAAATAGTAAATTCCTAATATTTTGAGAAAAGAAAACTCAAAAAGTTTCCTTCGAACCGGATTTGAACCAGTGACCTATGGATGTCCACAATTTTAATAATTCTACAGTCCACCGCTCTACCAACTGAGCTATCGAAGGTTGAAAGCAAGTCGTAATATTTAAAGAGATAGCCATCGATTCCTTTCACCAAATTTGCTTGTAATACGCCATAATCAAAACCAAAATTACGCTCTGATTAACCAAGTGAACAGCGCAGTACAATATCCCAATGAGGTCAGGCGTATTGGCATGCAAATTGTAGATATAACTTGATTATTTATGCAAATATCCAAAGCCTCGAAGGTCTGGAATGTATTCAATCTCCAGCGCGCAGCCTTTTGACCCATAATCTACAACAGGGCTAAGGAAAAGTGCGAAAATACCAGCACCTAAGAGAGTTTTGCTTGAATTTGTCGCCGTTTGCATGAAACATTTAACTGTAGACTGTAGTTAACTGAATAAAAGGCGCATCTTAAAAAGGTCTTAGAAAAGAATTTGCGAAAAGGGCAAGGCACCAAGGGATACTGATACTGATACAATATATATATATATATACTCGTAGAAGCGCAAAGTGATTCTGAAATCCTGAAAGGAGTAGAGTATAAGGCGCGCAATTTAAAAAAGTTAATCCGTGAATACATTGGAATTTTCAAGCAAATTTTTACGCCAACCTCAACATGGAAAACTACTTATATAAGCTGAATTAAAGGCTTTAAAATTAATTTTTTGGTTCAAAGAGAAATAGTATATTAAAACTGACGACGAATGGCATTTTATATGGTTTTGTGCTGCACTGTAGACAAATGCGCAGGCGCAAACTCCATCCCGTGACTAAAACCCGTGACTAAAGTACTTTAGTCACAGCTTTGACTCCCCGTATTTAAAATACCACTTTTTGTGTCTAAAACCCTTGAAAACTGGCTTAGAAGTAGAAATATAATAAAATATATTTTTATTTAAACCCTAACAAGCGATAAACGATAAAACCCCAACAACTCCAAGGGTAACTCCACTTTGTATACCAAAAAAAGCCCGCGAATCGATTAAATCATAACTGGGAAAGCTTGGAATTTGCGTCGCCACTCACGACACAATGTAACATGCAAGCACGCCGAAAATCCGAAACCAACTCATACATTTTATGAATATCATGTCAAACTCAACTTGGGGCAAACACAACACAACACACCAAACGCACAATGATTCCTGCGTGTGTAGTGCGATTGTACTCGTACGCGGAGTTCAATGCGACTGAAATAACTGAAGCACAGAGAATCACAATTCCAATAACGCACACACAGCGTATATGAAAGAAAGAATTTTTATGCTCACTGCCACTCCCGGGTAGGCGCGCAATGAATGCGCATTCAAACACGAGACGAATAAATTTCATTCCGCGCCGCACCGGGGCTAGAAATATCATTGCATTCATCATTTATTAAAACACCTCAGATAGAATGATTAGAGTCAGATAACAGGGTAATAATGGTATTAGAAACACCAAAAATGCATCATTTTCATACATTTTATATTACCACAAATGTCAGGTTATTGATTATGTATAGGAAAATGTTGGATACTTCTTTAAGTATCCAATAAACTGTCTCTATGTACGAGTATGTATGTACGAGTAGCTTTATCGTAAAAAGCATTACTTTGATCAATAATGCACGCAGATGTTTCGTGAATAAATTGAAAAGCAATTTTTGAAGCAAAAAAATATTCAATATATGCTATTTTTAAATTTCGTCATTTTCACTCATAGAAAAGGAAAATGGAACACCGACCACGTTGGCTTCGATCCTAGCCTATTGTCCATGCAGGGCGATTATACGCATTGTAACTTTCTTCGCATTGTGCCTCCATCAACGACAACGACAACGACAAAACCATTTTTAGTTAAGCTTGAGTTCGGTTCATTTCATTTCATTTCGGTTTAGTTCAGCACAATTTAACGAATTAAATTGATTTTTTATTTAAAAAAATAACCATTATTTACCTTTGTCTAAGTATTAATTACATAATCCGTGAGGGGAGTATTGAGTCACAAAATTTACTTTTACTTTAACTCACTTGTCGGGCACTTGTTAATCCACAGATCAAATTTCAATTTTTTTTTTTACTCTTCAAGGGTGAAATTCAACCGACTGTATTTTTATATTTATACTAATTATATTACTAGTTAAGTAAACACATTATCATAATTAATTACTGTTTGTGTAATTTTTATTATTGCTTTTAATATGCGTATTAAATTATTACCGGGGTGTATTTATACAACACGCGGTGCGAATGCCTTTGCCGACTCGCGTCGCGTCCCCGGCGACAAACGACTAACAGCGGCGACGCTAAAATACGATATTCTCGGCGCACACGGCCGGATGAGTAAGCGCCGTGTGCCGGTGGCGGCGGCGTCGCGACGCGCGCCTCCGATATGCACGCCGCGACGGCGAGAGAGACGGCGCGTCGCGGCGCGAGTCGATGATTGCGGGCTGGCGGCGCACAGCGCACGCGGCCTGCACACGGCGTCGCGACGCGAAGGGCAAACGCACTTCGAGTATTACTCTCTCGATGTGTGTGGTGTGTGGGTGTGTGTGCAGCGTGCAATCACACAATCTGCGGGCATACAATGTGTCACAATCGCACTACGCGGAATGCAAATCGATATCGGGTGCGAAATTACGTTATCAAGGACAAGGGTCAAAGAAAGCATGCAGAAAGTTATGTGTATCAGTAATATGTATTATGTGGGTTCACACGGGGACATGAACTGTATGTGCATTCACTAACACCAACAAGTAACTCTTCACTACCACATGTAAAACTTGATTTAATGGGAATTAGTGCATCTTAGCGACATCTCGCGTTGAAATATTCAACTAGATTAATTGATTTGTAATATAAACTTTAATCAATTATTTTATAAGGTATAAGGTACATTTCCGCGGAAAACAGTAACTCATGTCCTTCTCAAAGGTCTAATCTACCTCTATATAAAAATGTATCAAAATTCATTCAATGGTTTAGAAGAAAATCAATATTTTGTAACAGTCGATGTTTACAATTGTCAAAACAATAGACCCCAACACAAAACATGTTTTTGACGTAAATCAAATAATGAAAAATAGAAAATTGATGTTTTTGGCAGTGAAATTCACAGCAAAAAAACATTAACAAATTAAAAAGTTTCCTTCGAACCGGATTTGAACCAGTGACCTATGGATGCCCACAATTTAACAATTCTACAGTCCACCGCTCTACCAACTGAGCTATCGAAGGTTGTTGTTGATACTTTAACATTTTTTGGCACTAACAACATACCAAAAGAAAGTAATCACCAATTCTTCAAAAATCAGGTAAGTGAAGACTAAAAACATTAAAATAATAAAAAATTAGTATTTTACGAGTATGTTGGTGTTATGTAGATATTTTGACGTTTTGAGTATTTAAAGTTTAAGACGAATTGCCAAACATGTTTGCACTGCGTAGGGAGAGAAATCCCCAAACACTATTTCATCACCGGATCACCGCGACCGTCGGTGCGTGGGTGTTTCACTAGCGACGGCTTTGCGCTCCGGGGCGGTGTTATTACTTTGGGGCGCCATTACTTTACGCGGAATTCTCGGATTCATAAACGCAAAAGTATTACACACTCGTAAATTCAAAACCACGAATTTGCTCCCAACACGCAGGGATGATAACTTGACATACATTTTCAGTACATATTTCATCTCGGAAGTAAAATAAACATGGAAAATATTAGAAGAGTGATTTTGGTTTATTTCTTACTAGCTTCAACCCTTGGCTTCGCTCGCGAATGTCTAAAATAATGAAGTTGCTTCCGTACGCGTCTGTAGTCACAGAAGAAGTAACAATGAAGTAGAATGGCGGGAAGTTTAAAATGGCTGAAAGTATAGTCTATGGAAGTATAGTGTAC